GGAAAGGAAAAAAGAAGATGCCTTTTTAGAGATCAAAAGGTGTCTAACAGAGGTACCTCTTCTAGTGCTACCAAACTTTGAGAAAAACTTTTGAGATTGAATGTGATGCTTTGGGAATAGGCATTTGTGTCATTTTGTCTCAAGAGGGGTAACCCATCGCCTTCTTCAGTGAAAAGTAGAATGGTGCACCCTTGAATTATCCAACATATGAAAAGGAAATGTATGCACTTATTTGATCTTTAGAGACATGGTAGCATTACCTATGGCCAAATGAATTTGTGATCCATACTGATCATGAAGCCTTAAAGCACATCAAAGAACAACATAAATTGAATAAACGCCATGCTAAGTGGGTGGAATTTCTTGAGTCCTTTCCATATGTCATACACTACAAGAAACGTAAAGATAATGTGGTTGCTGATGCACTTTCAAGGAGGTACATTTTACTTAATTCTTTAAATTCCACACTTCTTGGTTTTTCATTCATAAAAGAACAACATGCTACTGACCTTGATTTTAGAGAGAAGTTTGAGTTATGTGAGGCAGGTACCCATGAAAGTTTCTATAGGCATGAAGAATATCTTTTTAAGGAATGAAGGTTATGCATACCACAAGGTTCTATTCATAGTGTCTTAAACAAGGAAGCATGTGAAGAAGGTCTTATGGGACATTTTAGTGTAGACAAGACACTAAGCATGCTGAAAAAACATTTCTTTTGGCCAAAGATAAGGAAATACATTGAAAGGTTATGTGAACGGTACCTTGTTTGCAAAAAACCAAGTCAAAAGTCATGCTTCATGGACTATACATGCCTATTCCTATTCCCGAGATGTCTTAGGGGATATATCAATGGATTTCATGATAGGGTTACCAAGAAAAAATAATGAATACGACTCTATATTTATGGTTGTTGATAGGTTCTCAAAGATAGTTCATTTCATTCCTTGTCACAAGATAGATGATGTGACACAAATAGACAATTTATTCTTTAAGGAAGTGGTGCGTCTACATGGACTTCCTCGAACAATTGTATCCGATCGTGATGTTATGTTCTTAAGTCACTTTTGGAGAATCTTATGGAGCAAGATCGGAACCAAGTTACTTTTCTCAACAACATGCCATCCTCAAACTGATAGGCAGACTGAAGTGGTAAACCGAGTCTTATCTACTCTTCTAAGTTCCATCATCCAAAAGAACATCAAGATATGGGAAGATTGCTTACCTCATATGGAGTTTGCTTACAACCGAACTATTCATTCAACCACTAAACATTCTCCCTTTGAGGTAGTGTATGGTTTGAACCTTTGATTCTGTTGAACTATGTTTTGATATAACAATTTATGGTAAAACGTTTTTGGATTGAATTGAATTTATTCAAAGTTTTCAAAGATTACAAAAATAATTCAAAGTTCATTTAATTTGGAATTGAGCACAAAAATGTTTTTATGAATAGTAAGGAACAGTATCGATGCTCAAAAACATCGAATGTAAATAGTGTACTGATGCACTACTACAGTGTACCGATGCACTGCTATAGTGTATCGATGCACTCACTGTTCACGTAGCCCAACGGTCATAAAATTTAAACTTAATGAAGGGGTATCGATGCACCTTGATAGTGTACCGATACAGTCTGTTTTGGACAGCCTATTTTTGTAGAAAAACAATCCCCACACGGCTCCAAAACATCCCCAACGGCTATATACGACTTCAAACTCATTCCAATCTATAAATACAAGCTAAGGACACTTGAAGAAAAAAAGAGAACAACTATCCAAAAAATCAAACACAAGATAAGAGCTTTACAATCTTATTTCATCTTTCTCATGTAAATATTTTGCTCTTGTGTGCTCAATCTTGTAAACACCTACCTTAGAGAGGTTTTCTTGTTTACATTTTCCTTTCATTTTAAAGGGGTGCTTAGCCCGTGAAAAGCTATGGGAAAGGTTCTAGTTTAACCATTGAAAAACTAGGGAGTTGTAAGGTTATCCCTTTGTCCTTGAAAAAGAAAGAACAAATTAGTGAATTTATTGAAAAATCCTTGGTGAGGAGCTAAGGTAGTGGATGTAGACTTGGTTGAGAAGTAAAACAACTATAAATCGCTGTGCAATTTTCTATCTTTCAATCTCCTTACTCCCTAATAACAAAAACCGTTCCGACCCCTCTTGGCGAACCATTCCGGTTGTCGATCAGAGCTTCCAAAAATCCCAACAATTAACATCAGAGCCTAACTCATTAGAAGGTTTAACCATCTAGAGATGATCCTAGAAGATGCTCTACCAATTCCTGATACAACCGAGAAGATGGATTCTACCTCCGGCTCGTTCCACATGGAAGACTCTCTACCAACCGGCAAGCCTCCATACTTCAATGGAACCAACTACCATCATTAGAAGAAATTAATGATATTATTTATCCAAGCTAATGATCTTGATGCATGGGAGATGATCGAGAGTGGATACTCTTTTTCAAAGAAGAAGGAGAAGAACTGGAGTGACCAAGAACGGAAAAAAGCTCAACAAAATGCCAAGGCCATGCACATGGTGTTTTGTGCATTTGGTCATGAAATCTATGAAGGAGTTTCTTCGTGTTCAAGTGCCAAGGAGCTTTGGAATAAGCTCGAGGAAATCCATGGAAACAAGAAAGAAGAACCAACAAAGGTGGTGTCTTTACTGGCTAATGAAGATCCCAAGGTATCTTCTAACTCAAATGAATTTAATTCTTATACGTTTGACGAGTTACAAGATGCTTTTAATAGGTTATATTTGGAGTTTGAGACCATGAACTCCAAATATAAGAAAATGATTGCAAAATTTTAAATTGAAAGTGATTTTCTTTTGAAAACAAAAATAGATTTTGAGAGCCAAAATGAAATTTTGAAAAGGAATAAATATTGAAAGTTGTGAAAAAGGAAATTTTGATTTAAAAGTTAAATTTGAATGCTTAAAAAAGGAAAAAAAATCATTTTAAATAATTCATTTAGTTAAATAATGACAATATGCTCACATTGTCATTATGATGGTCATAAGGAACATACTTGTCCTTTGAAGAAAGGAAAACGTTTTAAAATTAGAAAAGTATGGGTTCCGAAAGGAATAATGGGTATTGAAACTAACGTTCAAGGGGCATTGAAACTAACGTTCAAGGGGCATTGAAACTAATGTTCAAGGATCCAAATAAATTTGGATACCAAAATCTATTTAAATGTCTCTTGTAGGTGTGTGGGAGCAATGGTTATGAAAGTGATGATATTCAAGATGCTCTAGTCACACATGAAAAAGGAATGGGTAACCTCTAAGCTTAATGCTTTTTATTTTGATTAATTGGTTGCTCATTTGGATTTATACATACATGAGTTTTGATTTTAAATGATTATGCATTGTTTTTAATCTCATGTATGTTAAAAAATGGTTATGATGAACATTTTAAAGTTTTAATGATTTTTCATAATTTTTAGTTCATCATAATAAAATTTTGGTCAAAAATGGTTTTAATGCTAATGATATATCTCTAACAATTGATATCAACTTTTCAAATACCTTTATTTTACAAATTTTAAATTTGTGACCTAAATTTAAATGTTCATGCATGTGTTTTTAAATGTAATAGATATTTCTCTAACAATTGATATCAAAATTTTCAAATGCATAACATTTTTGGAAAACTTTATGCATATGCACTTAATTTCAATAATTGATATTGTATAAAGTATTTTAGACTTGGATATATTGAATTTCATGAGCTACTAACATGTTTGTTATTCTTTGTTGAAATTTAATTTTGTTTAAGTGTCATGATCTTAAAAGCTAAATTTTGTTTGAAAAACTATTATTGAAGGGGAACTTTGATATTTGAAATGATTTTTTAAATGTCAAATTTACTTCTTACTCTCCAAAGTTATTTTGAACTTCAAATATTGAATTATTTTTGATATCACAAAAAGGGGGAGAAGTTTGGTTTGAAAAATTAAATTTCTTAATGAAAAGGGGGAGCTTAATATTTTCATATATTTTTCAACAATTGGTAACAATTGGTATCTTTTTAACAATTGATATCCTTTTGTTAACAATTGATATCTTTTTCATTAAACATTTTATTAAGGGGGAGTTTTGCCAAAAACAATTTTTCAAATGTTTTGTTATATCAAAAAGGGGGAGATTGTTGAACTATGTTTTGATATAACAATTTATGGTAAAATGTTTTTTGATTGAATTGAATTTATTCAAAGTCTTCAAAGATTACAAAAATTAAATTTCTTAATGAAAAGGGGGAGCTTAACTTTTTCATATATTTTTCAACAATTGGTAACAATTGGTATCTTTTTAACAATTGATATCCTTTTGTTAACAATTGATATCTTTTTCATTAAATTATGACTTTGTGGAAAGGAACTAAACATGGCTGAATACATTTGTATCTTTTGGCCTAGTTTTCCTTCATCCATTATAAATAGGCTTACCTATTTCATTGTAAAAACAACTCTTGTTCATCAAATATACTTGTGAAAATTATTCTCTTTTTACTTAGTCTTTCTAAAGACTTTATCGACTTATCAAGTGGTAACACTTGTGGCATCAAACCCTTTTATTTTTCCTAGATACTTGTGGTTCCTATGTCTTCTATAGATATTGGGTCCAAATCCTTTTCTACCACCCCTTGAATAGATTTGTAAGGTTGGGTCTCTTCTCTTTATAGCATTGGTTCTTCCTTGGTCTATTCAAGATACAACTCATAAACTTATCCATTCTTTCGTAGTCATTACCTTAGCCTAAACACTTAACCATCTTCCACATTCACTATATTAATTAAACCTACCTTAAAACCTTACATTTAATTACCTTAACCATTCTATTTGAAGGCATTCACTTGTTGCAGGTGCTTGCTTACTTCCTAGTTCCTACAATCAAGTTGTCGCGTCCATTGAAGCGTGCCTCAACATACATCAATACGTGGTTATCTGGAATGGCGATAATAACTCCATTCTTTGAACTTTGTAGGATATGGCCTACGACCCAGCTCCTAGCCAAGAGGGTCGTAATGAGAGTCCCGTTTCACTCGATGGTGATATTGGTGATGAGTTCGTCATAGAATCCTTTGATAGGGGTGTCCTGGAGGGCGTAGAGATCGATGGGGACACCTTCTTTAACAACCTTGTTGGATATATGAACTACAAAACTACACTGTTAGCACTGACTGAAAATATAAACAGTAATTAAGAAGAACAGATTTGTAAACCGTGTCGTGGTAAGAACCACTGCCTTAGAAATGAATTTGCCTCGATGTGTGTAATCGCTGCAGTAGGCGGACCGTCCCCCGAGGTTAACACGGTCGCTCCGAATTCCGTACACCCGAAACCGGAGTGGACTGCTGGTGGTATTGCACTTCTGATCGGAAAGCACTCAGAGAGAACTCATAGAGAGAACTTTAGAAAACACTTTGTAAGTGAATTGTGAATGTTTTGGAGTGAGTTGAGAAGCTGAATATAGCTCTCTATTTATAGGCTAGAAATAGGGTTAAAATCGTCCATAAAATTTCAGGATTAAACATCTTATTTGTAACAGCTGAAACGTCTAGATGAACCTGACTCAGAAATAGTCCAGGTTCATTGTATCATTATTCAGCTGTTATAACTCCCGAAATTATATCATGTAACCCATGGAATTAAATCAAATAACTCCTGTAACTCCTGATATTAACAGCTTGTCTCCTCTGTACAAAGCTGTAAATCAGTCCAGGTACATCTTAACGTTTCTGATTTAATTTAGGAATAAAAAATAATTCAGCTGTTATTATTTGAAATTCAAACAATCCTCAGCAGCCTATAAATATCAGTTGATATCTTTCACATTTTTCATTTGTTTCTTTCAAAGATAGTATCCGCGCGGACGTGTCGAAGACACGTATCACCACGACCACGTGCCGTGCCGAGCCGGACGGACGGCGGCGGCGGTGCGCGAGAGCCCCCCTTGTTCTCTATCACTCAACAAAGAAGTGGAATGTCAAGCCTTAAATATCATTCTCAATAGTGTTTCCAACACTATGTGGGATTGAGCATTACCAACAAACCTTACAAATGCCTTTAGAAACATTGTCTGAGATATTCCGCGAGCACTTGTTACTGCTTATATATGCCACCATAATAGTAAGTCATGATAGATTGTTTATGTACTGTTTCTTACCTTCAATGACATCTTTTTACTATCATATTTGTTCAAGTTTATTCGAACCGATCGGCTAAACTTGATTTACTTTCCACCTGGTTTTTTGGTTCAGTTCTGTAAGGGTAAGATATGTGTAATATGTAGATACATTCAACTCGGCAAAGACCAAGTTCGACCTTTTATGGTTCAGCATTACATAGAATATGACCTGCCTTACTTATGTAAAGACCATCAACCGTATGATCACAAAGATTTTAAATGCTTAGCGTATGATTGCTTGCTTTTATTGTGGTTCAGTGCTGATTGACCATTTCCTCTCTTGAATAAATTCACCTTGCAATACTGCCAATAGAGAATGAACTTAAAGACCCTACACATATGAAGTCAATAGTTAGAAAGTCCCTTGCATTATGCTCTTCTGTCTACATTGCTACCAGCTTTTTCGGAGTAGTCCACTTTGGGGATCATAATATGGACGATGTGCTTGCCAAATTTGATGACGATCTCGGAATTCCATATAGTTTGTTGCTTGATGATCTGGTCAAAGTGAGCTATGGCCTTCACCTGATGCTTGTCTTCCCAATTGTGTTTTTTTCCCTTCGTCTCAATGTAGATGGCCTTTTATTTCCATATGCCATTCCTATTGCTTTTGATGACAGGAGGTTTTTCTCGGTAACAGTAGCTCTTATGGGATTTATACTTATGGGAGCCATCTGTGTTCCTTGTATCTGGGATGCCTTTCAGTTCACTGGTGCAACTGCTACCGTTTGTGTTGGCTTCATCTTTCCGGCTGTAATTTCCCTTAGGTAAGCTATATATAGTTATATATGAAGCTTCCCTTCAATTTTGTGTCAAAATTAGTTTGTGTCGGATGTGATGTTGGCAATGGCAACGACATTAGTCCCTAAATTAGTCTCATTTTCCGTAAAAGAATAAAGTTTTGGTACCGATTAATACGAATCTTATCAACTGGAAACCTTGTTTGCTTGTTCTGATGTGGAACCATGCAGGGACACCCATGGAATTGCAACAAAGAATGATAAACTAATATCATGGATAATGATCTTTCTTGCAGTCTCAACTAGTACAGTGGCGGTGACTAGTGACATTTGTAGCTTTTTTTTAGTGTCGACGAAGGAATTACATCATAGTAAGATGGATGTATGGTATACTTATCTGGTTTTTGTGGTGCATTGAGATAGCCGGAAACTCCATCTGACAAAGGGAACCAATCCGGGTTTCTTTCGTTCGGTTTATTATCCTCAGAGCTGACTTGATGAATGGGGGGTTTCTGATATCTCAATAGATATTGTGAGCTGCTATATATAAGCTTTGAAAAATAAGGGAATGTATGGAAGAACGGGAATTATACAGTTTGATAACTTTTTTTTTATTCTTTGGGGGTAATAAGACTTGAATAATACAATACTGATGTCATTGTGTCGGGTTGTTTTGTTTTTTCGTGATCCATCAAAACTTATGGCCGATTCGTAATTGGAACTTAATGGCATTAGCTTTGCCAATTCCTTTGATTTTCACTTGTCATTGTTGTTCAATTAGACTCTACTTGTTGGCTTCTAGTCGTGTTATTAGGGGTGTAAACGAGCCGAGTTGAGCTTGAGTATTGCTGAATTCGACTCGACTCGAAAACTATGAAATGGAGCTCGACTCGAAAACTCGCGAGCTTAAAATTTTTAAGCTCGACTCGAACTCGAAATCTTGAACTGAAGCTCGTGAGCAACTTGAAAAGGCATTTCATCTTAAACTTAACTCAATTGAAGCCTCAAACTCGAATCTAAACCTTAAATACATGAAAAACTTAATGTGTTTTTTAAAAAATCAACATATAAATGTTAATATTATTAATATTTTTTTAAAATAAAACCTTATATTATATTTTCGAACTTCTCACGAGTTTTTTAAGTTGAATATCAAGTAACTCATTTTGGCTCGTTAACAACTCAAGTGCGGGTCGAGTCCATTCGATCCGAGTATTTATTGAGCCTTAACCGAGTCAGTCCCGAATAGCTCACGATCTATATCGTCTTATTTACATCCCTTGTCGTGTGGTACCAGTTACAGGGTGTTTAGGAGGATCCATTGCCCATATGGGACATTAATATTTTTATAAACCCATTGCCTATATGTATTGTTTCAAATTTTAAGTTTTATTTTTTCTTTACTTTTTATATTTATAAATTTTATCAAATTAAATCTTAATTTTTTTATATTGAAAGAAACCAATCGATTAAGAATATTTTGTATGAGTATTGATATTATGATTATACGTTACATGTATATACTATGTATAATATATGTTTTTAAAAATATTTTAAATTTTTTAATAATTTAAAAGTTATCATTTAATAGTTTATGATATGTATTTTTTTAATATATAAATTTAATTTTTATAGTAAATTAATGTTTATTTTTAGTATTTTTTATATTTAGTTTTTTTTTGAATATTTTCATGATTAAAATATTTTTAATAAATAAATAAGTCCCTAAACTTTAAAAAAATCAAATTGATCTTCATCCGAATCTTGCTTGCAATAGTTGTATTACATGACTATGAAGTCTAGCAAATGGACGTCAAAACCGCTTTCTTTAATGAAAAACTCGAAGAGGATGTGTATATGACACAAGTAGAAGGTGTTGTGTCTCCAGGAAATGCTGGAAAGGTTTGTAAGTTACAGAGGTCTATTTATGGACTAAAGCAAGCTTCTCGAAGCTGGAGTCTTCGTTTCAATGATGTAATCAAAGAGTTTGGCTTTATCAAAAACGAAGATGAGCCTTGTGTTTATATGAAGACTAGTGGGAGTATTGTTTCTTTCCTAATATTTTATGTAGATGACATACTTATCATAGGAAATGATATACCTACTTTACAGTTTGTTAAAACTTGGTTAAGTAGTTGTTTTTCTATGAAATATTTGGGTGACGCAGCATACAACTTAGGAGTTAAGATCTATAGAGATAGGTCTAGACAACTTCTAGGTCTGAGTCAAAGTACATATATAGAAAAAGTTATGAAAAGACTCAGTATGGAAGGATCCAAGAAAGGATTCTTCCCTATGAGAAATGGTATTTCTCTTTTGAAGGAAATTTTTCATTCAACTCCATATGAAAGAGAATGAATGAGTAAGATTCCATATGCTTCGACTATTGGTTCTATCATGTATGTCATGATATATACTCGACTAGATGTATCGTATGCTTTGAGCATGATGAGTCGATATCAGACAATCCTGGTGAAAATCACTGAGTTGCAGTTAAAAATATCCTTAAGTACTTAAGAAGAATTAAGGATACTTTTCTTGTCTATAGAGGCGAAAAAGAGCTTAGTGTAAAAGGTTATATTGATTATAGCTTCCAAACAGACAAGGATGACTCAGGATCACAATCGGGTTATGTGTTTTGTCTTAATGGAAGTGTTGTGGGCTAGAAAAGTTCAAAGCAAGACATAATAGTAGATTATACAACAGAGGCTAAGTATATTGTAGCTAGTGAAGCATCAAAAGAGGATGTTTGGATCAAGAAGTTCATATCTGAACTAGGGATTGTTCCTAGCATATCATATGTTGTAGAACTTCGTTGTGATAACAATGGAGCCATTGCACAAGAAAAAAAATCCCATATTTCATCAACGATCCAAACATAATCTTAAACGCTTTTGTTGAGTTAAGCGATCGATGGAATAGGCCAAGAGGGGGTGAATTGACACTAAAAAATTCGGTGGAAGCTTTTGCAGAAAATTGAAAATATTTGCACATCGATTTAGAGTGGTTCGACTTTCTCAACCAAAGTCTACGTCCACTACCTTAGCTATCCACACTAAGGATTTTCCACAAATTCACTAATTTGTCTTTCTTTTAAGGACAAAGAGTAACCTTACAAATTCCTCAATAATTATACCCCAAATTCTTGAGAACACTCTCTCCCAAAGAGAACAATACAAATTTTGCAAACTTACAAGAAAATCCTCACAAGGCAAGATGTTTGCACAATTCTATAACAGATAAAGAACACTCAAGAATAATAAAATTGAGCACAATAAGTGTTCTTGAAAGCAAAAATGAATATTGAATGAAATAGGCTTGAAAATGCTCAAACTTGAGGTTTGATGCTTTTTCTTTTATTGTCTCTTGATTCTTGTTGATTATTGTTTCTTGTTGTTGATCAATGGCTTCTAAGCTTGTTTAAATACTCATTCAATTGATTTTGAATGTTGGGCATGATTAGTGGAGTCAATGGAGCCGTTTAAGTGTGAAAACAAATAATAAAACTGCTTGGAGCATGGGGGGAATTGGTACCCCTTCATAGGGAATCGGTTCCTGCAGTGTAAAATTCAAATATTTCGACCGTTGAATATGGGGGAATCGGTTCCCTCCGAGCATTCTGTTATTTCTCGGAGTTAAACCATTTAGGGGGAATCGGTTCCCTCTGGGCAATCTGCCCATTTTGGTTTGATTTTAATTAAGAAATGATTTTTGACTCGATTAAGGCTCGAAATACTTTGTAAAATTATTTAACATATTTTTACACTTTAGTAAGGATTAAAATGAACTTTGAAAGACTTGGAGTAATTTTTTGATATTCGAATAATTATATCGAATATACTTAGAAAATCTTTTGTAAAATCTTAAAATTCATTTAACTTATTTTGTTATATTAAAACATCAAAATGTTTTCAACAATCTCCCCCTTTTTGATATAACAAAACATTTTAGTAATTTTAAAATTTTCTAATTGAAAATAAATTTTGAAATCAAGTTTTGAAATTACTCCCCCTTACTTTAACACTTCTCCCCCTTTTTGTTAAATCAAAAAGACTCTAAAACGTTTTTAAATAAGTTTTTGAAAACTTTAGCCAATTGACATTTAGAAATATAAAGCTTAAGCTGCTAAGATCATAATCAAGAGAAGATATTAGCCATTAGTTTCGTAATCAATATTCATAAACGAAAGTGAAATGGTAAAATTGGTCAGATATCTAAAATGATGTAAATGATGCACAAAATTAAAATTTAAGCAAATCTACATATATAGATATGTTAAAATCATCCAAAAACAATATCAAACAAATTCAAACATCCAACAACCAAAGTAAAACAATCCAAAAGCATTCAAAATGTTGAAAACAATAAGGTCGAAGCAAAGCAAGAAAACAGGGCCTAATCATCCATCAGTGGATCAGGAGCAAATAAAGTGTATCCAAATATTGGCCACATCACGTGAAAGTGTATCGACCCTCTCGTCCAAAGTGTCAAAACAATGATTTATCGTTTCTTTGGTAGCAGTCAGATGTTATTCGATTGATGTAAACCTCATATCAAGATTCTCCATAAATGATCGGAAGTACGGAGGCACTTGATCTTCTTGCTGTGCTTGCTCCTCGTGCTATTCCGACTCATCATCGACTTCGTCAGCTTCCGGAGGTTGCTCACTGGTACGAACACATAGACCCATTTCTTCATTGACCTTTCATCCCGATTTAGTTAAAGAAAAGAGGTTGATTTGGTTTTTGAGTGGAAAAGCGGCATCAAGGTCAACCCTAAGCTCGACTTTAGAAAACAGATTACTCAGAATACAACCGTAAACTAGAGATGAACAGAGTTTCTTGTTAGGAACAAGGTTTACGATTTCTATAATTTTGGAAAAGATAATATGAGGTAGGTTTATTTTAAGATTATTTTGGATGCAATGTAGCCAAAAGAGTCCAAGGCTCGAAGAGTGGAGTACCTGCCTCCGGATGGTCAAAATCACCAAGAGATCATAAGATGAAGAAAACATTCATGGAGATCTAAAACACTCGCACTATCCCTTCGTTTATACTGAGAACCTACCATTTGTTTTTCATTGTCTAAGCCTGCATTATCTAATCCTAATATGTTGGCTATGTAATCCGGGTCAATGTAAAAGAATTGTCCTAGAAGATAGGATCGTATTCCTATGGTTGCGGTTTTAGCCCGATTTTGAACGCAAACGACATTAGAGTAGAAGATACGAACGAGTTGATGATAAACTATTAGTTCAAGTTCGAAGAGTTTATCAAATTTCCACTCTTGTAGGGTAGGAAGATATTGAAAATTTATGTCTAGCATGGCTTGAAGAGATGGGATTCGTTCTTTTCGGATTTTGTAATACTCAAAGTACTGAGAATACCTAAAGAAAAGATTTTTTTCTATTACCGGGTT